GACACTTTTGCATATTTGTTGATGGCCAAAATCCACATGCAAAGCGACATGGCTGCAACGGACTGTTTGCCCACCACTTCCGGGGTGAAGTCCGGCCTGCACAAACCCTAAACCCTAAACCCTAAACCCTAAACCCTAAACCCTAAACCGTAAAACGTAGATCGAGGGGCTAAACCCTAAACCCTAGATTGTGGCCTTTGCTTCTGCATCCAACTACAGTGTCCTCTAGGCATCAGCCTAGAGTGCCACGCGGCTCGGCTGTTGGCTAAATTAGGGTTTAGGGTTTAGGGTTTTGGGTTTGGGATTTAGGGTTTGGGGTTTGCAGTACCGCTGCAGGATCTTTTCGAGCTTCTTCAAAGTAGTGGCAGGAATATGCTCTTTGTCGAAAGTGGTGAGGCGATTCAGAAACCCTAACCCCACACAAACTCTAAACCCTAAACCCTGAACCCTAAACCCTAAGCCCTAAACCCTAAACCTTAAACTGCAGTCCTCATAATCGGCGACTTCGCAAACCCTAGCTCTAAACCCTAGCAGCCAAACCCTCGTTAATTAAATGAGAAAATAAACAAAAACGCTAGCTGTGTCAACGAAAACGAAAAGAAATAAAACAAAAATAAAAGCAAAAACAAAAACAAAAGTAAAAGTTACTAAAAACAAGAATAAAAATAAAAATTACAAAAATATACAAAAGCTAAAGCAAAATAAAAACCAAAATAAAAATAAAAATAAAGATAAAAGAACAAAAAAAGCACGCACAAAAATAATAAAAACCAAAACCAGAACCAGAGAAAAAATCAAAAACAAAAACATAAACAATAAAAAAATAATAAAAATAAAAATAATAAAAGTAAAATAAAATCAAAATAAAATAGCAACAACCCCACCAGTATCAGAGAGGACTTGGCGTGCATAAAACAAAAATAACAAAAATAAAAACAAAACTAAAACTAAAAATAAAATAGAAAAAATGAAAATAAAAATAAAAATAACAAAAATTAAAATAAAGACAATAAAAATAAAAATAAGGATAATAAAAATAAAATGAACAAAATGAAATAAAATAAAATAAAATAAAAATAGAAATAACAACAACCCCACCTGTGTCGGAGAGGACTTTGCGTACACAAAAAAATAACAAAAACAAAACAAAAACGAAACAAAAACTAAAACTGCAATTAACAAAAGTAGAAATAAAAATAAAGATAATCAAAGTAAAACAAAACAGAACAAAACAAAGTACAATAAATAAAATAAAATAGATACAATAAAATAAAATAAAATGAAATAACAACAACCCCACCAGTGTCGGAGAGGACTTTGCGTGCATGTTCCCAATCTGTCTTTTCTGCGAGAAGAACACAAATGGCCTCGAGGGTCAATAAGACCAAAGGGGGGGGTTTTGTGAAGGATTTTATCTCCGTTATGTCCCTTTTGTCCAGAGAATCCAAAGAAGCTGCACAAATACCATTTTAAATCATTTTTATTCATTTTTATTTATTAAAATCATCCAAAAATTGCTTTTTTTCTTTTTATTTTGGCCATTTTGATGCAAAATGGTCCCAGAATGGCGGAAATGCATGCAAAATGCATGCACAGTCCATGCAGAATGCATGCACTTTGCATGCAAAGTGCATGCAAAGTGCATGCACTTTGCATGCAAAGTGCATGAGTGATGAAAGCCCCAAAAGGGGAATGCATGCAAAGGAGAGTAAAAGGGGCAACTGGCATTGAAAGGGACAGAGCAAACGGATGCCCTAGACCCTAGAAGTCTGTCATGTCTAAACCCTAAACCCTAAACCCTAAACCCTAAACGCAAAACCCTAAACCCTAGTTGCGCATCTTAAATCCCCTCCCAAAGCTGCTGAGGAGCTGTGGGCCGCAGCGCCGCATCTGCGTCCACTTAAGCTTTAGAGCTCAGAGACCAGGGCTTAGGGTTTAGGGTTTAGGGTTTAGGGTTTAGGGTTTAGGGTTTACAGAGCGCTGCTTCTAAAGCCGGAAGAGCCTCTTCAAACTCCTGCTGCGCCTCGTGCTGCAGCTGCTGCGCTGCTGCTCTGTGGCTGCTGACAATTGCTTCTTCTTCTTGAACTTTTTTCTTTTCCAAGTCCACAACTGCTTTGTCCGCCTCCACTTGCTGCTCGCAAACCCTAAACCCTAAACCCTAAACCCTAAACCCTACGCCCTAGGCGCTCGCGCTTTCTGCCGGCGCGCGAGCCCCGCTTGAGCCCCAAACCCTAGCTCCAGCCCCGAAACACCAAACCCTAAACCTCCGCCTCAAACCCTAAACCGCCGCATCAAACCCTAAACCCTCGCGTCAAACCCTAATCCCTCGATCCAAACGCTAAACCCTCGGTCTAAACCTTAAATCCTCGGTCCAAGCCCTAAACCCTCGGTCTAAACCCTAAACCCTCGGTCTAAACCCTAAACCCTCGGTCTAATCCCCAATCCCTCAGTCCAAACCCTAAATCCTCGCGTCAAGCCCTAAACCCTCGCATCACACCCTAAACCCTCGCCTCAAGTCTCAAACCCTCGCGCCAAACCCTAAACCCTCGTGTCAAACCCTAAACCCTCGCCGCCCTCTCACCTTCAGCAGGGCCTCGGCCTTGAGGTGCTTTTCCCTCAAAAAGGGCCCCAGCTGCTGCAGCTCCTGCTGCAGCAGCTTCACTTGTGCTGCTGCTGCTGCTATGTGCTGCACCCCCGCGCTGAATAGCTGCAGCCGCCGACTCAGGGCTTCGCGGCGCTCGGCCAGCAGCTGAACGCAGCGCAGCAGCGAGGGTTTAGGGTTTAGGGTTTAGGGTTTGGGGGTTGGGGTTTGGAGGTGGGGCTGCGAAGAGAGCGGCAGTTTGGGGGCGCGGGCGAGGGTTTAGGGTTTGCGAGTGCGGATGGGCGATCGGCCGTTCGACGTGCACCAGGGTTTAGGGTTTGGGGTTCAGGGTTTAGGGTTTACGATTGTGAACAAGGAAATGAGGTTTAGGAAGGCTTTGGGGGTCACGTAAACCCTTTTTCCTTCTCTTTCTAAAAAGGCAGCAGCTTCTGCTTCTGCGCTGAGGTGTATGTTCACGCAGAGCTGCGAGAGTTTGCTTTTGTGCTGCTGCTGCTGCTGCTGCAGCAGCAGCTGCTGCTGCTGCTGCTGCAGCCGCTGCTGCTGCGCCTCCGCGCTGAGCTCCTCCGCCTCCCCGTGCTGCTGCTGCTGTTGCTGCTGCTCCTGCTGTTGCGGCAGCTGCAGCTGGGGCAGGTCTGCTGCAGCAAAGAGGTGAGCAGCAACAGCAGCAAGAGGTGTGGGGCCCCACACTTCAAAATAATGAGCAGCAAATGCTTTTGTTAATCCCGGAAATAAACGAAGTCTTCTTCTAAGGGCCCCCCCAACAGGAGAAAGACAAATGCAAACCCTCAGCCTCTTCAGCACATTCTCTCTGAAAACACGCAGCGCGCTCTCGCTGCTGCTGCTGCTGCTGCTGCTGCTGCTGCTGCTGCTGCTGCTGCTGCTGTCGCGGGGCGCGGGGGAGGCAGAGAGGTCCCCTACAATCGTCTCCACTGCCTCTGGGTCTAGCAGCCCTTCTACCTGCGCGCCAAATCCTAAACCCCAAACCCTAAACCCTAAACCCTAGACCCTAAACCCTAAATCCTAAACTCTCAAGCTTACAACTTACAACTCACAGTGCGAGTACCGAAGACGGGTGCTAGCTGGGTTAGTCACCAGCTGCTGACGCGCAAACCCCAAACCCTAAACCCTAAACCCTAAACCCTAAACCCCAAACCGTAGACCCTTAACTCCAAACCCTAAACCCTAAACCCTAAACCCTAAGCAGCACCTCTCCAGTGTTTGCCACTGCATCTGCGTCCCCCAGAATTCTTTCATCTAAAATTTGGCTCTCATTCAGCAGCAGCAAAGTGTCTTTTCCTGCTGCTAGGCCTGCGCCCAGCATTGCTGCTTTCAGGTCTTCTCGGAATTTGCCCAGCGCGCTGCTGCTGCTGCTGCCGCTGCTGCTGCTGCTGCTGCTGCCGCTGCTGCCGCTGCTGCTGCTGCTGGCTTGGGAGGGGGTCGCAGCCCCAGCCACAGTGTGGTCGCCGCCGCCGCTGCTGCTGCTGCTGCTGCTGCTGGCGCTGCTGCTGCTGCTGCTGGGCTGCTGCTGGGGGCTGCCCCAGGGCGCCTCTGAAGTGTCTTTGTCTTCCATGGCGTGACACACGAATTCCTTCTGAGTTCGACAAAAACCCGCATTTAGGGTTTAGGGTTTAGGGTTTAGAGTTTAGAGATTTAGGATTTGGAGCTTAGCGTGTAGCCACTTATGAATTAACCAATTATTTTTAAATTAGCTTAACACTCAATCAATTAAAGGTTATTTGATTAACAAGCAAGTACTCATTAATTATTTAAAAAGTCAAAAAGACAATTAAATAATTATGCAATTACTAAATAATTAATTACATATCCGATTAATTAAATAATTAATTTTTTAATGTATAATTAGTTATCTTTCCAATTAGTTTAATAATTACTTGGCAAATTAATTATTCAATTAATTAGATGGAAAGTGAACAGTTAATGGCTTATCTAATTACGAAATTAATTAATTAATTAATTAATTAATTAATTAATTAATTAGTTAATTAATTACCTAATAAACAAATTAATTATTTATATTAATAAATTGACTTATCTGCTTACCCATTTATTAAGTAATTAAATAATTTAAAAAAAACTAATTGATGAATAATGAATTAACTAATTAGCAAATCAATTATCCTTCAAAAGACAATTGCAAAAACAAATAACAATTAAAATAAATAAATCAATTAAACAATTAAACAGTCAAAACAATTAAATATTGAAACATTATACAGTTAAAACGATTAAAACAAATAAAACAAACAATTAAAACAAATATAACAATTAAATAATTAAAACAATAAATAATTAAAACAAGTAAACAATTAAACATTAAAACAATGAAACAATTAAAACAATTAAAAAAACAGAACAATAAAACAATTAAAACAATAAACAATTAAAACCACAAAAATAAAAATGGATAATGAGGGTTTGCTTTGCTGCAGCAAACGAAACTAACCAGCAGCAAACCCCTAATGCATGCAGCAAGTTTCGCGCTGCTGCTGCGGCCTGTTGCAGCAACTCCGAGCAGCAGCAAATTGCCAGGTTGCTGCTTGAGGTGTCTAGACACTGCAGCAATTCGAGTGACGGCGTCGGGGAAGAAGACGAGGGCGGCGAGGGGCGCTGCTGCCGCTGCTGCTGCTGCTGCGGGGCCCGCTGCTGCTCCCACTGCTGCTGCTGCTGCTGCTGCTGCTGCTTCTTCCCGGTACAACTGCAGCACCTTCAGCAGCTGCTGCCACGGGGGGGCTTCGGTGTATCTGCTTTGCCCTGGGGTGAACCAGTCGCCCCACAAGTTGTGGGGCGCAGCAGCTGCTGCTCCCTGCTGCCTTGCTGCTGCTGCTGCTGCTGCTGCTGCTGCAGCAGAATAAAACAACTTCCGAGATGCCAAGTCCTTCATTTCCCTCTCCAACCACTCCCGGTCTTCTCCACACATCAGCCGGTCGCCGAAGGTCCGCGTGCACTCGTGCAGCCACAGCCTGCGCAAACCCTAAACCCTAAACCCTAAACCCTAAACCCTAAGCCCTTGACCTCAGAGTCTTGGCCTTGCATCCGTAGAGCCGGCGCACCTTTTAGCAGCAGATTTGCTGCAGCGTCCAACCAACCTCAGCCCCCGGCCGCCCCAACCCTAAACCCCAAACCCTAGACCCTTCACCCTAAACCCTAAACCCTAAACCCTAAACCCTAGGCGCACCTGACGAGGGCGTTTCTGGGGGCAATGGCGTCTGCGTCTGCTGCCACTAAACCCTGAAATAAACTTTTGAGATCTCTGAAGTTGAAAATGTAAGAAGGGCGAGAAGGAGTTGGCAGCAGCGTCTCCTTCACTTGCTTGTACAACTCTGCACAAACCCTAAACCCTAAACCCTAAACCCTAAACCCTAAAGGATAAGCCGGATACCCTAAACCCTAGCTTGTGCAACAGAAAACCCTGCACATCTCATGACACAGTCAGGTCTGTGTTAAGCCGCGAAGACGCCCTCAGCATTTGGGCTAGGGTTTAGGGTTTGTGATAATGGTTTAGGGTTTAGGGTTTAGGGTTTGAGGTCTGGAGACTTGCCGATGCTTGCATCAACAACGGCTTTGGCCTGGACGCGCAGCTCTGGCTTCACTCCCTGAAGGATTTTAAATCGGAAACCCTAAACCCTAAACCCTAAACCCTAAACCCTAAACCCTAGCTCCTTGCATCTTCCGCACCCAGATTCTCCCCCCCTGCAGCTACTAGCCCTTCCCTATCCCCATCAGGGCTCCCTAATCAGCACCTACGGCTCCCACTTTACGGTTTAGGATCTAGGGTTTAGGGTTTAGGGTTTGGGGTTTAGGGTTTACGGAGTGGGCGAAGTGGGCGTCTAGGAGAGTCAAGAAGAGTTTTTGAGAAGAAAATTCATCAGGTTCATTTATGAAGATGGAGAAGAAGTGTCTAGACAGTCGAGGAGACAGAGGGTCTCTTGCTGCTGCTGCTGCTGCAGAGAGCAGCAGCAAAACCCTCTCCAAACCCTTCCAGTGCATGCGCTTGCGGTCGTACAAACCCTAAACCGCAAACCCTAAACCCTAAACCCTAAACCCTAGTCAGAAGCCGAAAGCCCTGGCAGCATGAAACTCTCAAAAGGCAAAGAATGACCACAGGCCTCTCAGCAAGTCGCAGTCAGGGAGCGCCACGAAGTAGGGTTTAGGGTTTGGGGTTTAGGATTTAGGGTTTAGGGTTTAGGGTTTCATTACATTGAACTCCTGAATTTGCCTGAGAAGCTCGGAGGTTGGCTGGGAACCAAAAGGGTCTGGAAGAGGGAGGTTTGCGTCGTCAATCCAAACAATGCAGTCTTGAGTCCCGGGAGGCCCTAGCTGCAGCAA